GCCGGTCGCTTTCCGAGCTTGCAGAGGGAGCTGGCTGCCTGCGACATCTCCGACAGCGGATCCCTGACTGGCGAGCAGTTCAGGCAAGAGGCCAACCAGTGCCCACGCCTGGCACGCATTGGGCGGCATGATACGCCAAGTCTGTCTACTTTGCTTCTCTGCCAGTGCAGCCCAGCGAGGGGGCTTTGCTCTCTCTCAAATTCCTCTGCGGACAACTCTAGCAACTCTGTGCTTGATAACCTCAGCGTTAGGTTTAGACCAACATGAATGCTGCAGGTTGTGAGTAGCGCAGACATGGGGAGCTTCATGCACGCAGCAGGGCAGGCTGGCAGCCCCCACACCCAGCCATGGGGACAGGCGACCCTACACTGAGCCCCCACGGGCTCCGGTGGTCAGGCACAGGGCATTCTGTGCATTTTGCTAGAGGCGGTCAATCTTCTCCCGGGTAATCAATCAGCTGTGCCTTCTTAAGCGAAACTCTAAGCCCAGCGTTCCTTTGGGCCATGGCACAGGAGAGAAACACCAGCCATTTCCAGGGCATAGCTGGGAGCACGCGCTGGTACAGACCCGGTAACCAGCTTAGTCTTGGCTGCCAGCTCACCCCTACTCACGCTTGCATTCAGAGTTTCCCGCATGGCTTAGGATCCAACGCTCACCAGAGCCCTAAGCTCTGCCAAAAGCTTTACCCCTTTTTTGACATCTGAGAGCGCCCGTGCTTCTTGATATGTGAAAGCAATGAATTTTTGAAGATCTGGCCCCATGGAATACACACGCACACTGGTAGCCTGAAGATCAGCCGGCTGCACCAGCAGCCGTTGGGGCTCATCCTGTAACAGCCCACACATTTCTGTCCCTATTGCCTATCTCCATGCAGCACAGCTGTCAGGGAAGCTTTTCCCCTGAAAAGGAAAGAATCCATCCAAGAACTCGTGGATGCAAGCAGGTACAAGCTGGACAGCACTGAAGACCTCATTGACTACAAGTCCCTATTCAAAGAGGTAAGCTGCTGTTACTTAAGTTTACCTTTTGATTCAGATTAAGCCTAATTTAGGGCTTAAATTAGTTTTATCTGACTAACCAGCCTCATCCGACTAACACGGGTGCAGTGACCACCACAGGCTCTAACACCCCAAGGCCATTGGCAGACAACGGCAACTCAAGCTTGTGCCTTTCTTCCACATTTCCTCTCTTTATTTCCACTTTTCACATGGAAATCCCATTTCTGGGAGAGCTGAGTTACTTTAATACACACTGGGGGGCAGCTCCTACCCAGGCTGGAACACATGCTTGGTGCTAAGGCACCTCTAACTTCTTCCAGGATGAGGAGGGGAATGCTGAGCCGTTGGTTGCAAAGCTCAGGAGCCAGTATGTCAGGGAGAAGCAGGAGTACCTGGGGCAGCTGAAGGACAAGCTGGGGGATTTAACGTGAGTATGGAGGGACGGGGCCAGTGGGGATGGCAGATGAGGGCAGCGCGGAACCTCCCTGCAGACACAGGAGTGTCTGCGCTACCGGAGGGCCCCAGCCATGAATATAGCAGTAAATACCAAAACCTGGGTGAGTCCTGCTCTAGGAAACACTGCCCAGTCAGTGCCTGGCCCAATGGATTTGGGCATGGCAGGCAGTGAGCATAGAGGACTGGTTGTACCAACAGTCCTCTTCAGTAACTGAAATCCCACATCTTAACACTCCTCAGCTCTCCCAACCCAGCTGTGAAATCCCGTACATCCTCAGAGGTTGGGTTCTGAGGAGTGGGAAGAGTGAACAGGACTGGTCAGATTTAAAGAAATTATTCCACCTCAAAATAAGATAAACAAGAGGCAAAAAAAGGCCAGCGCCAGGCACCGAGGACGGATGGATGCCTGGGAAGTTAAGTGCTGTCCAGCACAGGCACTGAATTATAGGAGGGAAAATGGTTAGACTTTAATGGTTGGACTTGATGATCTTAAAGGTCTTTTCCAACCTAAATGATTCTAATGGTTCCATAACAAAGGATATCACAGAGCACAACAGGGTGAATTTAAGGTCTTCCTGGGTTATCCCAAGTCTCTCATTTCCTCACTTTGGTTTGAAGTTTAGCACTTGGCAGTCTTTATTATGTGCATATTTAAAAACCAAAGGGACGGCAGTAGAGGCAGAGATAACGATATCAAAAGACAGCTCTGCTCTGCAACTCAAGCAGGATGGATCCTCATGAATATACAAACAACCCTTTCACATGTCAGAGCACAGCAGTGACCGAGTCGTTTCTGAACAGAGAGGTGAGCGCAGATGATCTGAAGACCGCCTTCTGTACAATCAATCCCACCATCGATGATCAGATGCTGGATACCTATGTCGGCCTGGCTTACCAGGTCCGAAGAGGGCAGCCAGAGCAAGAAGTTGTCCCTGTGGAAATGGCCCTCGAGAGGTTGCTCACGGGAGACGTGAGAAGAGCAGGGCCCTCGCCCCAAGAGGGAAGCACAGCAAGCTTTGAAGGAGAGCAAGGAGACATCCAGTAGTAAGAATAAATGGCCTGTTTGATCTCCAGGTTTGGATACCAAGCCGAGAGTCAGAATTACTGCACTGAATACTTCTTCCCACCCATACAGATACACCTGGCAACCAGGTGAGCCAAGGAACCGTAAGGCCAATGGGCTCCATCCAACGTTGCAGCCTACATGGAGTCACCTCGGCTCAGACTTGCAGTGGGAGGTGGCCCGATCCCCAGAGGCTTCACACTCCCACAGCACTGGGGCGCCACGGGGTGTTGGGTGCTCTGCTTGGTGACAAAACAGTTGTGCTTCAACAGTCATGACCTGAACTACCATCAAACTCCAGGCTGCAGCGTGGCTGCTTCAGCCCCTTGGCCTTACGGTTCCTTGGCTCACAGAGGGAGGGTTTCAAAAGTGCGTTTGCAAAATAAGGGGCTATCAGCACCGCTGGAGTCACCCACATCAGGTTTGCCACCATGCCTGTCCCCAGGGAGACTTTGACCTTGGTATAGGTACTGTTGTCCTGTATGAAGTAACCTTGAAAGAAACTCCAGTAGGTTTAACCAAACTCTGAGCTGGAAAAGCAACACAAGCACAGAAACCATGAAATCTGTCCCTTCCTTCAAGGAAGACACTGCATGCTGCCACGGTTACTGCCCTTCCAACCGCTGCCATCAATTAATCTTTCCTGTTCATTTGTGTCCTCTCTATCCAGCACACGGCCCTCTCCAGGGAGGGGAATAAGGGTTCTGGAAACAAAAACCCGGCAGGAAAGCAGCTCTGCTATGGCTGTGCCTAAATTGCAGAGTAAGTGGTGCAAACCCAAGAAGCAAAACCTGTTCTTTCTCTTGTGACGTAAGTTTGAAAAGTAGAAAGAGGAAAGCTGACATGGGAAGATGCCTTCCTAGCACAGGCATCTCACCTTTGTCCTTCCCCAGAGGAAGGCATCGTGCAAAAGCTGATTGTGTTTGTAAAGTGGGAGGGCATCACAGCCTGCGTGAGAGCGAGCACCACCCAGATGTATGAGGCCCTGGGGATTTCTGCCTGGAATATTGCACGTGGTGCTGAGCGACTTCAGTACAAATGGCAAGATGCCAGGAAAGGGAGGATAAAAGGATTGAAAGGGAGATGCATTGTCTAGGCTGACCCAAATGCCTGGGGCATTCTGGAAGGAGGACTTGTAAATACAGCAGAATTCAATGTATCTAGAAAGAACAGGGAACTTCAACACAGGGAAGGCATCTGGTAGATGCACATCAGATTGGCAAAGCTTTTCAAGAAAGCCCTTGCTGGGGAGTACTGGGCTACAGAGAGCAGAAATCACTCGTTTTGCTTCGCCCCGAGGACTTCAGATCCCCAACAGTTAACTGTGCGTGGCAGTGCCAGGCACTGCTTGCTTTTGCCCTTCCAGTTTCATTGCTAGAATCACAGAATCATTTGGGTTGGAAAAGCCCTTTAAGCTCCCCAAGCCCAACTGTTCCCCTAACCCTGCCATCCCACCACTAAACCCTGGCCCTAAGCACCTCCTCTGCCCGGCTTTTAAATCACCCGAGGGATGGGGACTCACCCCCTTCCCTGGGTAGCCCCTTCCAGGGCCTGACAGCCCTTGCGGGGAAGGAATTTTTCCCAATGTCCAACCTAAACCTGCCCTGGCACAACTTGAAGTAATTTCCCCTCATCCCATCACCCATTCCCTGGGAGCAGGGCCCGACACCCACCTCCCTACACCCTCCCGTCAGGCAGCTGTAGGGAGCGATAAGGTCTCCCCTCCAAGTTTAGGACTTGAACAACACGTCCCTAAAAATCTTGAATTTAGTTAACCCTGACTTTAGCAACTCTAGTTCAGCAACTGGACACTGAACCCATCGCAAAAGAAGAGAAAGACAAGATGGGGAATCCGAGCTCTCCCCCTCACAATGTTCCCAGTGCAGGAACCCAGTGGCCAAGGAAGCTTTTGGCTGCAGATGCATCCCAGTGGCATGGCCGGAG